CCTTTTTCAATCAGAAAGAATTTCTTTGGACAAAGAAATAAGGTTTTAAAAGACTCTAATCAATTATATTGACCGACTATGTTCTTCTTGGCCCCAAATCCTCCAAGAAGCAAAACTGGTTGCATCTGGATAAGTTTTGTTTGGAGTCTAAAATGATTTTTTTTAGAAAAAGGTCAAAAAAGAAAAAAAACCTCACGGCAAGTTGATGAAAATATGTGGCTGTATAGCTCAGTTGGTTAAAGCGTCAAACAAAAAGTTTAAACCCAGACTGTTGTACGATACGAGTTCAAATGAGTCCTGCCAGCGTCAACTCAGCTCTTGAGTAGTACTTCGGTACGCAAAAATGTTGGTCAATAACGGAAGCTACTTTGGAATAGTCTTAATGACTATTTGTGGCTGTTTCTATGCTAAGCCAACAATATCTTCGGATATAAGAACATTATATAGAAAAATATAGTATGAAAGTTCAAATAAAAAGAAATAAAAAAAACAGCCCACTTCCACGAAGAGAATTTAAAGGGTTTTAAGGTGAACGTATTTAATGTTGCTCTTGACAGCAGATAAGAAGCAGAATTGATACAGCTCAAAAGACAACGGAGTTGTTTTCGTTCATTTGGTGATTTCCATCTCATTCTAGTGGTAAAGAAACAATTAGTCAAAAAAAAATGCAAATCCCTGGCAAATCTCTTAGTAAATTATGTAAAAAATGAGTTTATTGAAGAGATCCGCTATTTAGATGTTCTCAAGTAATCAAATTCTTTAGGAGAAATAGAATCCCTTTCTTCTATTAAGTTGCTCAACGGAATCAACAAGAAAGGTCTTCAGTTGATGTTTCTTTCTATCTGCATTTCGCCTTGCATTTTTAATACAATCCCGGTCTCAGTGGTTGAAGGAGAGCGTTCTTTCAGTATGTTTGCTCTCATCAAATCCAAATAGTGATCAACTATGGCTGAATAACACCTTATTAACCTTATCGTGATTTCAATTGAATACAACCTTGCCAAAAATTTATTGTACAAAAATGTCATCTCTTGTTTCGCGATGAAGAAAGCTCGCAAATTAAGTTTGTATGATTTGACTAGTCTTCATATTTAACAATTTTTTTGCTGAAGTATATAACTTCATTTATTTTAATTTGTATTTGAGTTTTTGTTATATCATATATAACCAAGTTCAAATATCGAATGACTAAGTGTTTCTTCATCATTAGAAGTGATGAAGAAACAATTAGTTAAGTTTTTATATATACTATTATAGCAACAGATTTGAAACAGCTCTGGAATACGAAATTTAGTTTGCCGCCAGTATCCAGAGCTCGCATTAGAAAGAAATTGAATGAATTTTTGGATGCTTATAAAAAACGTTTGAACAAAAAATTTACTACGGATTTTTTTGATGCGCATGATATCCTTAAAAATATATATAAAAATGAAGAGCAAAAAATAGATTTACTATCAACATATAGCTAATAGAAAGAGCTGTTTATCAACCAGCAAATTAGTAGCTGAGCATTCTGTTAACATTCTGTTGATTCCATAAAAGTTTTGATCTAAATATATAGAGCAATTATATACAGAACCGATCTTTCGAATGATGACAATTCGGACAATTTTAAATCTTTGTTCAAACCAAAAAAAAAAAGCTTAAATTAAAAGTGAATAATATTACTTCTCAAAATAAAAATTAATACTTTTTAAATAAATTTTATTTTATTTTTAGTTTAAAGTAAAATTTAAGACAAGAGCCAACTAACAGTTTACAGTACAATTTTAGCATTAAAAAGTTTTGTGTCGTAGATGTATTTTTTAAAAAGTGTTTTTTTTTTTTTTTTTTGAAAAGTTTTTTTTCCAGAAACACAGAATTTACATCTGTTGACATATCTTTAGAAAACGTATTTTATACTTTTTGCATTTAAACGTTGTTTATTTTTTTTGTTAATTAGAAGGCTCTTTATTATTATTAGGCTCGTTATGATCCAAGGCCATTTTTTTTTTTAAGGTTATTTAGGTGCCCAAGAAGACCTAACGGTCTTGTTACAGAGCACCGCGGAAGTGCTTTAACCAAAAAGTTCACGCCTCCTTTACCGTGACGCGAAAATATATCTAAAGCTCGTTTCGAGCCTGAATCTTGCAAGCGCTCTAACCACTGCGCCACGGCCGCACAAAACCATTTGTTCCTGGATAATATTGATTACCAATCGATAAACAGAGAAATTATTAGAGCATTGAAAGTTTTTATCACATAAATTTTGTGAGATCAAATACATTGATACTGGTAAAACAACCCCAAAGATCAATTCTTATTTTTACATATTACATGTTTACCAGGTCATGGACGCTTTATTTGTTAAGACGGTAAAGAATTGTTTTGGCTAAAACAATTTTTTACCATAGATATCTTACAAGAAACACAGGTAGCAAACATACATGATAAAGATGCAAGAAAAACAGGGAATTGACTGCAATAAGATTTACAAACTCTATAAACTCATCAAGTTTTTAAAGTTTTTTGAATCAAATGACTATACTCTTCCTGCATTCCAGTTAAACAAGTTAACTTGTTGTTAGACATCCAAATCACTCCGGCTTCCATTGCTAAAGTTGTTTCTCAATTAAACTCTACTATGGCTTGTGGTCCAGACAATATTCTTGTTATAGACTTTCAAAAGTGTTCTCTAGAACTCTTTTAAATTCTTTCTAAACTTATTAATAAAGGCTTGACTGAATCTTGTTTTCCAGCCTGCTAAAAAATGGTATTGTAGTTCCGATTATTAAAAACTCTTAACTCTTGAGTCTTAATCAACTAATTTCTAACATCTCATCTTAAGTATAACAAGTTACTCTTTGGCAATCATTACAGTTTTCAATCTTTTCAATACATACATACACCTCGATCTCAATTTTTAATAGCTGATTTACTAACTGCTGCAACTGAAAGATTGTATCGTGTATTAAATGCGAGGCAAGGGCTATTTGACATATCAAAAGTTTTTGATAAAGTTTGACATGTTTGCCTTTTCCACAAGCTTGCTTTGTATGTGTATCTGGGAATACTTTTGAGATTATTAAACCATTTTTTTCTAACCACCGTACTAAAGTCGTCTTCAAAGGCCAACATTCTTCTTTTTTTCCAGCAGCTTCTGGGGTTGCTCTATCTGCCAAGTTAGAGCCATTCTCCAATTGTCTTAAGGTTACATCTTTTTCTCTCCTCTACAAATGCTGTCATGGTCATTGCTTATACGAGATATCAGCTCCAGTTTCATCAGCCAAAACTCATTCTCACTTGATTTGTCATTCAGCAAAGTAGCATCCTTTTACTATATCTGTCTCTTTATGCTCTAAAAACATTATTTTCTAGTTTTTTTCTCATACCATAATTAAAAGAGGATGTTTGACTGTTTTTATGGTATATTTTGGATTCAGGGGCACTCCTACAGGTCTTCTAACATAATTATAGCTCATGCCTTGAATTTGTTGAAACAAGCTTCTGTCTGTAAACATTACTTGTTCCAGAATAAAGATTTTTTAGCTGGTCTTCTTGCAACAAAACCAAAGTCGTAACACAAGCTTCTCCTTATTGTCCTTGAACTACCCCTTTCCATACTAAGTCCATGTGAATCTTGCAGATGTTGTGAGGGGCTCACTATTAACAATATTCTTCAAAAATCTAATAACGCTATAAATCAACAATAAGTTTAAAAGTTTCAAAAAAACATAACATGCCTTTATTTTTTGGCCACTTCTCTAAAAGAACAAAGCTTACTTAAAGCCGCGGAGAAAGCAAACAGAATTATGAAAAAATGAAAACATCTTACGGCTGATGTTTATTAGATCGGTTTATACTAGAATAGGTATTTTTTATAATTTTTTTTTTTAAATAATTTTTATGTAATAGTGCATTGTAATCAAGGGGTGGGAAACTCCCCACCCCCCATCAATGATTTTTTTCGTTGATTTAGTCGGCAAAATTGATCCTTTTTGAGAAGTCAGTCGGCAAATGTCGATAAATTAGTCGGTAAAATCAGTCGATAAAATGTCGATAAAATAGTTGGTAAATTTAGACAGTCAGTCAGCAAATTTTAAAAAACGAGGAACTTTTTTCTGTTTTAAGTTGGAAAAAGTTGTAATAAATGGAACCCCCCTCCCACACTTGACACCTACTCGCGCCGGCCGTGCTTATTAGAACCGTTTTAGTATTTAAACATTGCTTTTTAAAATGAAAAAGATCTAAAGATCACGGATCGCAGTTGCTATTGGGTACAAGACGCCTAAAATAAGTATTAATTCGTTTTAATTTTGTGTTAAGATTTATTAAACACGTCTTGTGTCCTTTGCGTTGGTTTTGACAATATGCTTAAATTTAATTTAAGAAGGGTTTTATCTTTATTTCTTTTTCATGTTGTTGCGTATATTTTTAATAAAAATATTGTTGTTGTCGTTGTAGGTGGTTTGTTTTTGTTGTTGTCGTTATAAACAATAACCTTGAAACTCAAAGCGTTAAGAACTTTGGATATATTCATTAAAAAACAGATATAAAAAAAAAAATATATTAAAAAAACACATTCTTGAATTGACTTTAAGATATGACTGCCTAATAAAATTAAAATGATTATTTTGTAAATTAAAAAAAAATCAAAACTTTATGCAATCATAACTTTATATTCTTTTGCCCTTTATTTAAAAGTATTTATCGAAAGGTTTACATATTTTGAACGTATATAAAGTCATATAAAGTCTAAACTTAAACTACTTAAGTTTTAATAAAATATAAACCAGGTTTAAATAAAACATCCTGTCTCATATAAAAATTAATTTATCAAATGACGCAAAAAAAATTAGTGAAGTATTAAAATGTCAAAAGATACTATCAAAGATGTTGGCAGTTTTTTCGTTGTTTTTTTAATTTATTTATTGTGAATGACGCAAATTAGATTGACCTCGTTGTTATAAGTTGGCTTTCAAAAAATAAATATATTCAAAACAATTAAAGAACCAACTAACCTTTCCTATATTTGTAAAACCATGTTTTTTTGCAATTCTATCTGCTACATCATTGTCTGGGGGGTCAATATGCACCGCCCAAGTATTAGAGAAATAATGTTTTTTAAACGTTTGTGTATTATTGCGAGATGCAACATATTTTCTACTTAAATATTTGCGAACTTTTTCTACTCCCGACGGCGAAAGGTATCTACGTTTGTAATCTTTATTTTTTAAGACAGTCCAACCATATGATATATTAACTACAGCAACCAGAAGCAGTAAAACAAATACATATCTTCGGTGATATATACCCCTATAGTTCATAATTATAATAAGTCAAAAGCTTTCATGAGATTTCATAAGTTAAGTTTATGACACAAAAAAACGATATTTTATGTAAAAACTTTTTATTATAAGCAGTAAGCAATTAAAACTAAAAACTCGCTGCCAGAGCTAGAAACTTGCAGAGGTTCCGAACGCTGCAGGTTGTTTACATAGAGTTCATGAGCCGTGAAAACACGAATGCCTGCAAACAACCAAGGAGAACTTTGTTTTAACATACTCAATAAGAGACGCTAACCCCCTGTTTATTTTTAGTAATCTTATTGAAAATTACTTCGAATCAAGAAGGAAAATTCTAAGAAAGGAGGTTTACAAATGAATTTAGAAGGCATTTGTGCGGCAAAACCATTCCTAAACGTAAAATACTTTGTGCGGTATTATTATGTTAACAATAACAAACATCAAGTATCATTCATTATAACATTAAATGTATAAGATTATTATTATTTCTTTTTGTTAGCATTCAAAATTATACAAATATGTTTACAACATAGTTTATATATATTTTTTATCATACCGTGATATTTTCGTGTTTCCGTGTTTGCTCAAGTTTGACGGTTTCCCATATTATTTATCATAAAAGATATGCAGTAAAAAATTTTCTACCATACGTCATTAATGCGTTTTTAAAATTATACCAATAAAAAGTTAACATTTTTTTTTTTTTTTTGCTAAAATAATTTAAAAATTTTTTTAAATTATAATTTCTATATTTAAAATATACAATTCATAAGTAAAGTTTTAAGTATGAAATTATAATTTCTTTTTTTTACAAAATTTCAGCAAAATAGTTTAAAATTTTTTAACTAATAATATAATTGATATCACTTTAAATACTAAAAACGGTATCTTTAAACAGAAGTATTTGTCGTGAAATAACTTTTTTATATTTAAACATACACAATTTCAATAACATAACAGTATTTCATCAGCTGACCGTTAAATGAAGACCAAATTTTTGTTATAACTTTGTTTAGGGCAAAAAGTGACAAAATATTTATGATGCATTGTAATTTACATACATCGAACAGTAGATTTACATTATCATATGTTTGGAGGATATCGAAGAATGGTTTATCTGATGCATAATGGTAAAAGTTAACAGCAAAAAAAAAAAAAAAAAAAAAAAAAAAAAAAAAATCAAAAACTTTTTGACAATTTTGGCCCAACAACCCCTCTCCCTAGTAACAAATCATCATGTGTTTCTAAACCCCTCAAAGTACACAACAAATTTGTACACCCTCCCCCCCGCCTTTAAAATTTTTTGTTGTTTTAAATACGATAATATTATTAATTTTCTTAGCTACTTCTCAGACAGCCTCCCGCTAGCGGCCTTATGCTTTCCCATTTTTGCTTGCAACTACGGCGCGATGATGGCTGTGCCTGCATCGAAACGGCCATTGGGCCAGCATAGGCCCGCAATCGTTCGCCAGCACTGGCCTGCGATCGTTTGCCAGCACTGGCCCGGTATCATTTGCCAGCACTGGCCCGCGATCGCTTACCAGCACTGGCCTATTATCTATTACCAGTACTGATCTGTGATCATTTTCCAACATTTGTTCGTACTCGCGTGTCATAAGTAAAGCGTTACTTTTAATAATACATCAGGACGTTATTACTAGCTGTTTCTGTACAAATGTATTATCCCGCATGAATCAAACAAATAAGTAATTTTCGAAATTTATTCCAACTTATATCGAAAAAAATAAATATTTTTGAAATTTATTCCCAACCAAAATTGAGTTAAAAAATAATGAAATAAAAAATAAAAAAATGTTATTAAAAGTTCAAATTGTTATTTATGCAAATAACTTTTTATACAAAGAACGTTCCTCTCGAGGTTTTCGTCCGCCATTTCAATCCCCAAAAAGCAAAAAATATCTCTTCAATTTATGTTTAAACTCTTATCCTGATGCTCCTGAGGTTAAAGCTTTTATTTTCACAGAACCTAAATAACACAAAGTTAAACTGTGTGAAAAATAGTAAACAATTAAACCAAAATGTATGATTAAAATCTACATTACACTCACATATATAAACGTTAGGATAATTAAAAAACATCTTTTTAAAAAAATTCTGCACCTCAACCCTATTGTATTTAATAAAATAACACTAGATATAAAATTTAAAACAATATTTAAACATAAATCAAGTTCACATTATCATCGAAAAAAAAAATTATATAAAAATAACTCCAAGAGAAAATTGCGAGATTACTATTAGCCAATGCAATGCAAGTGTTTTTTTGCACACATTCGCAAGAAACCATCTCACAGATAAACATCCATTGGATGTCACTTAAGACCCCAAAAACTAAAATAACAAAAAATTAACAATAATGAAACAGTTAAATTCAGTTTACTAATGTTTACTATGTGCTTCAATTTAGCATTAGATGCAACTGATGATGCAATACTGATTTAGGGAGCTATGAGAGCTTTAATTCATCCAGCAACTGATCAGCACGCAACTAAATTGATATCATCTCAATAGGCAACAACAAAATATCTTCATTTTTCTTCAATCAAAGCACATTTTTAAAATTAAGCGCTAAAAATAAATTAAGAAATTGTCACGTTATAAAGCACTCTTTTAAATAAATTTTTCATTAAAGAAAGAAAAAAAACTTTCTAGTCAATAAAATACATAAAATCATAGAAGTAGATGGGTCTCCATCCCATCAGTTGTCTAACTTATTTTCCATCAATTTAACTTGATAAATTTTGATGCATATTTGTGTCCTATTTACATAAACTAACTAAAAGATTGTTTCAGAACATATTGGAATTCAGTTACAAAAATAAAAAAGAATATTCAAATGAAAAAAGTATAAAAATACATCCTTTTCTAAAACTTCAGAAGCTGAGTCTTGTTTTAAAAAAATTTAATTTTAAATGATCTGAAGAAGTCAAATTTTCAATACATAAAAATGTTAAAGGAGGAATAGCTGGAGCAAGTGTCTTTTTTTATTATTTACAACTTTCTTTTTTTTTCAGTAACTGTGGAATGTCAGTTTCTGAATTTAAATATACAAATTTGTGATACATTTCTATAAAAAAATGAAAGTGAACCAACATCATGATATGATGATCACCATCTAAATTACATATGCTCATCATTACAACGTATATCATATCATCATTGCAATCATCATGATCATTACCTGGTAGGACAAAGACTTTTCAGAAATCGGTTTACTTCTAAATTTATCAGGTCTTACCGTTGTTGATTGAAAAAAAGTCTGAATAAACTTTAACCATAGGTAATTTTTCTCTTGTTTAGTCATATGTAACTAAATAAATCAAAATAGTAAAAAAATGTTGGAAAAATACTTTAAAACAAAAAACAAACAAAAAAATATACTATAGAAAAAATATATATTTGTAAAAATATATATAAGACAACTAACCAGAGTTATACAAAATATTTTTATCATAATCAATCTAATCATTCATATAATCTTTACATTTTTTATAAGTAAATGTGGTGAGTTTGGAGTGACAATATATGTTTGCTTGATATGATTTACTTTTTTATCTTAATATTGTCATTTATTATGACAACTTTTAATTGAATAATTTTTGTTTTGTTTATTTATTGTTATTTTTTAATGAAGTAACTATTTTACTTTTATCGTTTTTATTATGATTATTGATATTAAGATTATTATTTTTATTAAATTATTGTTACATTTTTTCGCAGTAATTGTTTTAGTTACATGGTAGGTTGTTACGTTTTATCAGTACACAACTGTTTGTAACTTTCCTGTCTGTGCATTATATTCAATTGTTGTTTTAAAATTGATATTGGTTTATTATCATATAATTATCTTATTGTTCTTATAACTTTTATTTTATCATCATTATGATTATCATTATTTGTATTATTCTTATCATTATTTGTATTATCAATCCTATTTCATGGTATTTACTTAAGATTAGTTTTTAACTATTTGTAAATGACCTCGATTGTAAGATCTTTTATCGAAAAATATATTGATTGATTGATATCCATTTTATATGAAAAACAGCCACTGAATTTTTTTTTCATCAATAAATTTAAAAATATTATAAAACTTGTTTATCGTTCCCATAGAAATAAAATATATGCTAAATGTAGTGATAAATTATATAAAAAAATAGGAATTATAGGCATTAAGTGTAATTACAACTGATCACTTTGTTATATTTGATAATTGAAAAAAAAAAATTATATTTGAGAAATGTTAAAATATAGAGCAATAGAAAATACTAAAAGTATTTCAGAAAATAAAATGCAAATAAATGATAAATTTTTTTTTTTATAAATACATTACATGATAATCATCGAAAGCAATTTTGATGATGTCAATTATATGATCAAAGTCATTTTTTAAATTATTATCTATGGAATGTATTATTACAAACAATAATAATATAATAATGTTATTATTAAAAGAAAACACTTGAGACACAACATAATAAATAATAAAATAAATGATAAAGCACTTTTGGTATCAAGAACAAAAATAAACAATGTACAAACTTCAACAAACTATAACAAGTGCAGCAAGACACACTGGAGATTTAAAATTGCAACATGTTCAACTTTTTCTAAATTTAATGCTAAATATTCCTAACAGACTTAAATCATAAGGATAAGTAAGAAAATTTGATTTCGTCAAAAATTACTAGTACACAATATAGGTCGTCTCGTCAAAAATATAAATACTTTTCACTAAACAAATTTTGTTATCTAACACAAATATTGCCACATGTTGCTTTAAGATAAAGATATGATAAGTAAACATCATCATATGGTATACACTATACACATACACATATATATGATACACACTATACACATATACTTATACATATAATATATTGAATATAGTATATTACAATAATATTTTTGTAAAGGGACAATTTAAATAGTACAAGACTAATTCAAACCAGAGACCTTTTAAAAAAACAAAACAACATATATATATATATATATATATATATATATATATATATATATATATATATATATATATATATATATATATGTATATATATATATATATATATATATATATATATATATATATATATATATATATATATATATATATATATATATATATATAATTAAATTAAAATTCTTTATTTAGTCGATGAAATTGCAGTTCTTGAGATTAAAATGTTTTATATATTACAATAAATAAAAAAGTGTTTGTCAAAGTTAGATATATCTAACCTTATGGAAAAACTTTCATTTTTTACGTAAAAAATGAATGTTTTTTATAAAGTTAGATATATCTAACTTTATTACCAACCGTGTTTTTTTATTAAATAAGCATCTTTTGCATATCTTTTGCATAAAAGTTATGCTGATATAACATTTATACAAACCTAAGTATAATAAGCAAACATTTATACAAACATTTATACAAACCAAAATATAATAACATTTAGTTGTAATAACAAAGTATACCTTGTAAACGTTTAGTTTTGATTTTATAGTACCATCGTGGATAACGAAAAAAATATTTAAATAATGGCAATTATTGCAAAACGACATTCGGCCAAAACTCTGTATCACCGAGTGCTGGCCCGAAATCAAATGCCGTCGTAGTGCCTTACGAGAGTTCTGGCACGCCGCTGCGACTTCTTGGGATGATTAACCTTAAAAAGGTGCTTGAATCGCTTGCCAGTAATGCCCCGTTACTAATATAGTCGCTACGGCGCGCCGTTGCACGCCGCGGCGTGCGATGATTTGCCAGAGTACTGGCCCGGAGTCGAGTGCTGTCTGGATTATAATTATCATTCTAATCATTTTAATATATATCATCATTTTAATACATATATATTTTTATTATTATTACTTAATATTATTTTGAAAGTCATTATTTGTACGCGGGTACAAGTAAACAGCCCACAAAAATACTAATACGAAAAAACGGAGAGCAGTGGATGATCAATTTCTCGTAATTTGAGGTGCGGCTACAAAGAGATGATGATACGACTTTCTATAAGAGTTTTTCTATTTTGCGTTTTGATATATATGAAAGTTGTTTTACATGTTTTAACTATTATTGTCGTTTAATTATTTTTATTATTATATATATAAAGTTTCACACAATAATAGTAATAATAATAATAATAATAATAATAATAATAATAATAATAATAATAATAATAATAATAATAATAATAATAATAATCAATGTGTTCATAAATTGACTGATATGGCCCTATTTGCAGTGTAGTTCATCGACTCACTTAAATAGGTATTGAGGAAGTGGAATGTACATATATTATTTTTTTCACTCCTATAGTTTGATATAAAGTATAAGTTAACAGTGACTAAACGGACAACTAACCTCCGAAGATTTATTTAATTTTTGATAAACATATTATTTAAATAACTTCTTTTACAATAAGTTGGTACCGCGATACAGGTTATAATAACATAATATTTTATGCTAATCCGTATTAGCTAACGGGTTATAACTAAAAACGGTAATGATTTAGAAGACAAAGTTATGTAACATACTTTATATTAATTATGGTTGCAATCATACCTAGTTTACAGCATTTTATAGAGTTGTTAACAAGGCCAAAAGTAGCAAGGTCAAGGCCACACGTTACAAGACCAAGGCTAAAAGTTACAAGGTCAAGGATAAGGCCAAGGCCAAGAGTTTTAAGGTCAAGGCCAAGATTAAGAGTTTCAAAGCCAAGGCCTACCCAAACATTTTCAAGACCAAACACTTCAATTTTTGCCTTACGTTAAGGCCAATTAATAACAAAGCTATAAGTAGCAAGTGTTGTGACAACAAAACCATATTTTTTAAAAATAAACCAAGGTTATGCGCAGAATTCAACAAAATCAATAAGAAAATATGTATTTATTTTTTTTAGGACAAGGCCAAAATTTTTAAGGCGAAGACCAAGGCCAAGGTCAACAGTTTTAAGGCCAAGACCAAGGCCAAGGCCTCAATTTTCGGCCTTAAGGCCAGGCCAAAGTCAAGGCCAAGGACTAACAACTCTAGCATTTTCAATTCTCTTCAAAACTTGTTTTATTTTAAGTTAAAATAATTTATTGTTACAGAGAAAAGTGAAAGAAAAATAAGAAGCCTGTTGAGAACGTTTGAACAGCTTCTATTTGAAAAATTAATCTAAAGGGAAAAAGTTTACAGTTAATCACTTTCTTGTTGAAAAAATTCCTTTTAAAACCATTTATATAATTATTTGACGCGCTGAAAATAAGTCTGGGCACCAAAGAGTCTCTGGAAAGTGATAGGATTGCTAAAATAATGACAAAAAGAAACATCGAAAGACTTGAAACAAGGTTTGTCCATATAAACGGTGTATTGCAAACACAAGTAGCTCGGAAATTTAAGTGCACCCAAGTATATTCCAGCAAAACATTAAAAAAAAGTCATTAATCAGGCCAAAGAAGAAGAAAAAGATTACATTAAAGAGCTTGTGACCAAATAGAGACAGATCGAACGAAGTGCGGTTGGCTGGATGGATTTCCACCAATTTATTGCTAACCCATGACGACGAGTCGTACTTCACATTTAACCACTCTTTGACTAATGAAAATTATATTTATTATTCAAGTGATGTTTTTCAAACACCAACAGGTGTCAAATTTAACCTGCAAAATATGAAAAGAAATCTCGTACTCGTTTGGATTTGCTTTTCCGATAAAAGAACATCATCGCAATATTCAGAGAAAGTGGTTTTGCAATCAACCAAGAAGTCCTCAAAAATAATTGTATCAAGAACAAACTAATTCCATTTATCAAAAAGCATCATTCTGATGGCGAACACATATTTTGGCCTGATCTGGCATCGACTCATCGACGCAAAATCTGTACAAAACTACATGAATAAGAGAAAGATCATTTTTGTCAAATGAGAAGATAACCCTGCAAATGTACCTGAATGTCGTCCGATTGATGATTTTTAGAGTATTTTCAAACAAAAAGTGTATGAGAATAATTGGAAAGCAGATAATCTCGAGAAATTGCGCAAAAAATAAATGATTGCCTTTCTAAAATGGAAAAATCTCTTGTTCAGCGTCTTTCTGAGTCAACTTGGCGATAAAATAAGTTTTTATCTCATTTAACAACGGAGTTATGTCCCTTCAAAGTTATTACCATTTTTAGTTATAACCTGTTATTATTATTGTTTAATAATAATTATATTATTTTTTATTTGATAACTATGTTATTATTAATTATTTTTTTTATCGATGATATATCAGCTATTTCATTGACTCATAAAGTCGTACAAGTATCGACTAAAATTTAAGACAATTTACGAAATGTCAATTCAAATAAAAAAGCCAACTTAAAGTCAGTTCAAATTTATTTCGGCTAAGCACTCTTTTAATCAATACAAAAGATTTTCTAGATTTGAAACTTAAAAAAATAAATAAATGTTGCGTTACAAAACTAAATACAATCCCTTACCCTTGTGAAAATGTCACAAAATAGTCACAAAATCTCTAATCCCTCCCTCACCTATCGCGTGACGTAATTTGTGGACGACTTCTAAGGAACATCGTCGCATGCTAATTATAGAGTTCTGTCTTATTTTTTTTATGCTTAACAACTAAAGTTTTAATTAATATTTAATAGTAACAACAAACAACTTAAAAAATTATGTAAATAATAATAAAAGTTTAATAATAAAACAAAATAACATAAACGACTTATAACTTAAAATTATAAAAAATAACAACAGCAAAGCATTTTAAATTTTGAGTTAAGTTCTCAAAACTTAAAAAAATGTAAATAGAACTCTAGCGTTCTTTTGCAACAACATGTCTTCATCATTATAAAAAATTTTCATAATGTTGGCAATAATTTTTGGGTATTTTTACACACTTTGTGTTCGGTGACTAAGTCTGCCTCAAACAAGAATAACATATGCAGCTAAAAGTTTTTTTTAAAATCTCTAAAACAACTTTCATATATATCAAAACGTAAAATAGAAAAACACATAGACACGTAGTAAACTTCAAATCTAGGTATGTTTATCTCATATCAAATGAGAACGCTTTGGAAAAAATTCAAGCGGTTGGAAACTGGAAACAACAAAAAACCTTAAAACCTGTGTCCTTTTAACCCTAAACATGAGAGAGTTTTATATATAATCTTTTAAACTAAGTCGATATTCATCAAATTTAATATACTAGTGTATTAGTGTTCAAAAATTATAAAAAATTATATAAACATCTAAATTCTTCAAAGTGTTGTAAACTTTACGTGGTCATAATTTATGAACACTAAATATTATTTAATAAAATTTAGAATGTATTGATGAATATAAATATTGCTTAAATTATATTAATATAAAACAAGTAAATTATTATCCTCTATAACATTGGATATAATTACATAAATTAGAATTTGTTTATTTAGAAATCAGAAATTTATATTAAATATTTAATACAATAAATTATTTATTAATTACTAATGAACACCAGGAACTGCTATGCTGACAGCTAAAGACACCCCCTGTGTCTATTATTTGTTTTTTTCCCATCAATGTGATCTTTGAAAGAATTTACCGAGACTGCATAGGCTGCATTTGACGGATGTTCCATGCATTTAACACACGTTTGTGAATAAATACTTCCTCTCATCGCAATTTTTGTTAATCTTTGATTTTGCCCTCGTAGGCAGTAATTCAATATTGATGGTGCATACACCTGTGGTACGGCAAATTCTATTTTTTCGATTTTAAATTGCTGAATTAAATCACCTTGATTTCTTTTTTCTTCAAGTCCAAGGATACGAAGCCTCTCCTCGTATAACTTATGCTTGATTTCTGTAATTGTTTTTGTTGCTCTTTGCTGAATATACTCTGGCGTACATATATCTTGTTATACATATGGAGATCTTGAATTGCAAACTCAAGATGTGCTCTGATATATTTGGTGTACAAGACCATAAGTATCATAATATAAAAAAAAAACGATCTAAATTACGTAGTTCTAACTTACTAATTTGAACAAATGAAAATTAAATACCACTGACGTTACAACTCACGATAGGCAACAAGTTATCTGCGCAATTCATTTCGCGATTCTGCGCGTGGTCCCTTTTTAAAATTTTATAAGAATCAGGAAGAGGCATTTTCAGACTATAAATTAATGAGAAAATTTTCAAATAAGTTGTCATTGGTCTGATTCTGAATTCCACGATAAAGAACATTTGTCAAACGCCTGAAAGTTTTTTTTGATAATAAATCAAAATCATGTTGCTGAAAAAGACTTGCATTTACATTTTAAGTCCAGAATTTTTATAAGTCGCGATGTTAGAGTTATCTTGTTTTATCTCCGCATTTTTGAATTCTAAAATAAATCGATTTAAAAAATAAAAACTTTAGGAGACGGCATATAAAATATTTTTATAATTTGTTTTCTCCGCAACTTTTTTACACATAACCTAGGTTTCAATAGAAAGTACAGGAGAAAAACATTATTTTGAGGTACACAATACTATCAATAACTCAATTTTTTCAAAAAATAAAAACCTCTTCAACACACTGTTTTTTTTTTTTCACAAAGCATAAACAAATTTTATCTAGCTGATAAGTACACTTACGAGGTCAAATCTCAAATATTCCGAACAGCTTCTACTTTCTAATTAAATATTCTTAAAGCATGTTTTGAATTTTTTTAAACATGTTTTTCTATTATAAAAGCAGCTTCGTTCACAACACTGAATTGGTACATTGATGTTAGTTTGTGAACAGGGGTAACAGAAATCTTTAAACAAGGTTCACTATGTAAGCATTTTATCATTACAAATAACAGAGATTTCTTTAAATTCTGAATTACATTTTGCCATCCCATGAAAAACTCCATTTGATTATGCAACCGTTGGTCTGATTTTTACTTTATCAACTATCAAAAAAAGGTTTTTGTGATGATTATTCTTTACTTTTTTTAAATACAAGATGTTTGTTGCAGAAGTTATAGAGTGCAGCTTTCTTTAACTTGGAAGCACGAAAAAACAGGAAGTTGATGGTAGTTGCAGTTATAAAAAGACTCAATAGCAAAGTAGTAATTGGCTATAGAAAAACCTTTGTTACGCAATAGTTTGCCATGACCTGTAATGAAATTTAGTTTCGTTTGCTTGACCGCATCCTTCAATAGAAATTCATAACCTGAACAAGTTTAACTTTTTCAATATAATTAATATCCAGACTATAATAATGAACTAAACGAATAGCTTCAAATCATTGGCTCTCAGAGAATTTAAATTTATGCGTATCTTGTTTTATTCTTTTGTTCTCTTTTTTAAATACCCATATAATTTTATCTTTCTGAACTTTAATATTTTTTAGTAAGTAACAAATTGGAATTCTAACCTAAGCACGAACAAAATTTAGTCAAGCGGCTTTAACACTTTCCCCTCAAGTTAAAAAGCAATTTTTACAAAAATAGACTGACTAATTGTTTCACATAAGTGACAGTAAAGGGTTAAAGTTAAGCAGTACTTTACTACTACAATGCTTTACCACCACGACGACGACTACTACTACTACTACTACTACTACTACTACTACTACTACTACTACTATTACTACTACTACTAGTACTACTACTACTACTACTACTATTACTACTACTACTACTACTACTACTACTACTACTACTACTACTACTACTACTACTACTACTACTACTACTACTACTACTACTACTACTACTACTACTACTACTACTACTACTACTACTACTACTACTACTACTACATCATAGATCTTATAGTTCAATATTAAAGTTTATTTATAAACGTTTAATAAAAGAAATATAGCATTCACGGGTCGGTAAGTATAGATTTTTAGTAGCTAGATCTACGTTGTCTAGTTTTTTAAAAAGCTTTTAATGAATTAAAAAAAAAAGGATTGAAAGTACATATTAGAAAAACTCTACATTTTTAACAACTAAATTTTCTCATCGACAATTAATGTTAAATAATTCCATTTGTTACTTCAATAACCGACCTAAAATGTGAAAAAAAAAAGCATTAAATATTTCAAATCATCACAAAAGCCCATAAATTAAATATTTAAAATATAACCTCACCATGCGTTATATTTACTTCGGCAAGTTTATTGTGACACCACGTCTGATTTCACCCCAACCAATTAACCTTTTAACAAAAGCATTTAAATAAATCAATGTTAAGTAAAACATATTTTATAGAAACAAAAAAATAAAAATAGAATTTTAACCTCCAATGTCTATCTACTCTCCTACTTAATGCAATTTTCTCTCCGATTTCTGTACAAACAGGCTGCGTGAGAACAATTTTCGCTAAATCTGCTTTAACAGCCAGCACTCGGCCACCTGTCGATAAGGAGCCTATATTCACCATCAGCATCTCATTCTTTGCAAGCTTTTGTACCTAGTAACACAAACATACTTTTAATTGCATTTATTATTACTTAAACAATGCCTTGTTTTATTATAAAACTATATTACTTAAAATGCCTTGCTTTTTTTATGTTAATAAATATTCAAGCACCTTAGCTCCTTTTTTATCCCCTTCAGTTTTGACACCGAGCAACCTTCTTAACAAAAAGTAACTAATTTCAAGCTCTGTATACATATCTGGTAGTGCACCAACTGCACCTAACACCTGACCAACCATACGATCAGCACGGCATAACGTTGGATCAATTTTAGTACCGACACCAATTAGACCTCCGGGAGCTGCATATTGCAAATCATTGTGTTCTGCAAATAAGGATACAATTTTCGAAAATATGGGCTGGCATCGTAGCTTACCATCAGAATCCTTTGAAATTATGCCTGGACGGATTTCTATTTCCTGGTTAACCTTTAATATAGATTATAAAAAAAAAACTTTATATAAAAATATAAAAGACATTACTTAAAAAAATATAATTTATGAATATAAACAAAACATTACACTTGTTTATAATTATTAAAGGTTGTAAACTTGTTTATAGAAAAATATTATTTACCTTTAAAATACCTCTAAGAATACTTCCACCAGCAACACCACCTTTTAAATCATCTACTTCACAACCTGGTTTGTTCACGTCGAACGATCGAATAACTACGTAAAAAATAGTTAGAGTTATGATAACAAAATATTTATAATAGTAATAATGATAATAATAACAACAATAGCAAAATATTTTATACCAATTAAACGAGGTTGAGATTTAAAATCTCGAATAGGAACTGGTATCTTTTTGCAAATATAATCACAAATCACTTCTATATTGTATTTTAACTGAGCAGATATTGGAACAATAGGAGACCCTTCAGCAATTGTACCTGAAATTGATAAAGTTAAAATAAAAAAAATTAACTAAAATTACAAAAATACTAACTATTAAAAAGCTCCACTTAAAGTTAACATTCATAAAAGGAACATGATAAACAAATAATGTTGAGAAAATGGTAAATCATAAAATTAAATAAATCGAGGAATGCTTATTATTATTCTAGCAAATTAACATTTACTATAATCATTTTATAAATATTTAATATTAAACCTTTGACAAATCGTAGAATTTGTTCATGTTGTTCTTTTGCTTGAGTCTCTTTAACCAAATCAATTTTGTTCTGCAAAATAATCATGTGTTTAAGTTTCATAATTTCTATAGCTGCTAAATGCTCTGATGTTTGCGGCTGTGGACATGATTCATTACCCGCTGAAAATTATTTAGATAATACAATTTTAAAATTTTAAATTATAACTATATAATAAATTAATAAATTATAAACATGAAAATCTTAATTATATGTAAAATTTGCCTATTAATAACAAAGCAGCATCCATAACAGCTGCACCGTTCAACATAGTAGCCATGAGAATATCATGTCCTGGGCAATCCACAAATGACACATGCCTACAAACAAGAGAAGTTTTATACCAAACAAAAATTTGTTTGCAGTAAATAGTTTTTTACTTTTAACATCCTATTCTATCAAAGTTTAATTTTAAGTTATATAAAAGAGCAAGGGTATTAATCAACTAAAGAACTTTAACTATTTACCTGACAAGTCTAAACTTCCCAGTACAACTAGGTCTATCACAAGGAAAAACATCTTCTTTGCTACTGCCACATGATCTGTAACACCCAGGTCTTGGACATCCAGAGTTATCACATCTGTATATCTGAAAATTATTATTAAAAAAGCAGGTATGGAAACAATAAGAGATGCTTCAAGTAATCAACCAGAAAATTAGAATTTTATATATCTTTCATAAAAATTTACTTTTTATGAAAGATATATAAAATTCTAAGAAAAAGCAAATAAAAATTAATATAAAAAATAAATATTTTGTATAATTAATCCCCTTTACACAGATACTGTCTATTTGCGCTTAATTTCTCATCATTTTATTTCACCTCTTATTTCTCATCATTTTATTTCACATTTTTATTTCTTCAAGTCTCATCAATTTATTTCACCACTGACATTTAACACATTTAATTAATGATTTTGGAAAAATCAGATAATTAAATGTGTTAATTAACGTTTTTTATTAACATTTACAATTGTGTGCAGCAAAATAGTGGTGCGTATTTTATTTTTCTATTGTTTTTTTTTTTTATCGTTATTGTTTATAAACTAAATGTTGTGATTATAATAGCATAAAAAAAAATTAAGAAAGATAATTGCAGCACTGTATGGTTTTAAATTTCCATATTATCGATTGAAGGTCATTCGTATTTTTTTTAGACTGTGCAATAAAATAGCAGTGAAAATCATTTTTTATGAAAAGGTCAAAAAATAATTAAATTTTATTACAAAAAAATTTTTTTTTTTTAAGCTCTACATTAGTATTTTGTGGCATGACCTTTATTTGTAATAACCGCCAAGCATCTTCGTTGCATGGAATTAACAAGATTATGACATCGCTCGACTTATATATTTTGCCATGCTGACTGTACTATGTCCCACAATTGATTACAACCTCTTGGATTATTTTCAGAAACTGCTTGTTTAAAATCAATTCACAAGTTTTTAATTGGATTGAGATCGGGGGATTGTGTTGGCCACTTCATCATGAGCCCAAACATACAAGCAAGTTAGCCAAATCGTGGTTTAATGAGAACAAAATCGATGTTATCCTGCTGGAAGAAAAATTTTAACAGCATTTCTTCTTCAGCATAAGGCAGCATGATCTCTTCAAGTACTTTTACATATACAAACCGATCCATGATACATTCTATGCGATGTATAGGCCCAACACCATAGTAAATAAAATAACCCTATATTTTTTTTGAACTTCCATGCTTGACGGTCTTTAATGTAAATTGTGGCTTATATGCTGCACCTGTTGGTCTTCTAACATATTGTTTACGAACATGGGAACCAAAAAATTTAACTTTTCTTTCATCAGTCCACAAAACATTTTGTCATTTTTCTTTAGGCCAAGAAGCATGCATACGTGCAAATCTTAAACGATTTTCGATATGTCTTTTACTCAAAAGTAGTTTTCTAGGTGTTCTTGCATTTAAATCGGCATTATTAATCGTCTTTGAATAGTTGAGGTATTAACATTTAATTGTAGCCATTCTTTAATTTTTCTAGAAGTAATAAATGGCTCCTTTTTTGCTAACGAAACAATTTGACGATCTTCTATAGCGGTAGTTGATCTTTTATTTCCACATTTTTCTGGTTTGAGTTTCCATTTTAAAGCATTACAAAATCATTGATGGGAAGCAATTATCTTTCTTAATTTTTTTTATACTATTATAATCACAACATTTAGTTTATGAACAATAACAATAAAAAACAAACAATAGAAAAATATTTTTTGATGTTCAAAGTTCATTGATAGAAAAATAAAATACACACTACTATTTAACAGCACATGACTGTATAAGGTTTTAACATTTAAAAAATTTTTTATTAACATTTAAAACATTTATAATTGAAATATTTTAGTAACATTTAAAACAATGTTGATTGACATATTTTATTAACATTTAAAACATTTTTAATTGACTCATTTTATTAACATTTTAAACATTTTTAATTTTTTCTAATGCAAACTATAAAAAAAAGAGAACTTAAACCCAATAGTGTCAATAAGGTTGAGGACTGAAAATCAACTTTTTTAAACTTTAGCTCATATATTTTTTTGTTTATAACTTATTTATAATTAAATAACATAAAACTGATATTTTAGATACCAGGTATACATATTGCAAAAACAATACTACCTCAACAGTTGCTAGACTTTAATAACATAGGATGTAGTAAAAAAGTTCTATTTACCAATAGTGTATATCTATATATCAAAATTGTATATATGAAATTGTATGGTTCAACCTTGCCATATTTAAATAACAGATATTTAATTCTTTGTCTAAAAAATGTCTTATTCTCAAAATTGTACTAATTTACTACTTTTTTTTAGTTAAGTAAAACCATATACCATTGCCCAGTAAGCTCTCTTTGATTCATAAATGTCTAAGATTCTTTTTAATTTCTTAACGGAGCTTCTACATCACTCTTTCAACATAACTAATGCTTTCATTAAAAAAGAAGGGTTCTTCTTCTTAATAGTTATCAAAAATAAAAAGCTAGACTTTTTTTGGCTGCGAGTATTTAAAGTTCACTTTTACATTTAATGATTTGGCTATTCCTTTACTTTTCTTAGTTTACTTGCTGTTTTCTTTTTGTTGATTTTCTTATATATCCTGCACTTTTGCAGCAATGTCTTTAGCACGCATTGAACAGTGGACACAAGTAACTAGTGTAGGCACAATTTTAAGGTTTGGCTTTCTTGATGGCTACTAATCAGGAACTGCCAACTATCAGCAATAATCAATTTAATGATCCTGATCAAACTTTTTTTGCATTGTCAAATCTTTCTTTTTACTAGCTTACCAATGTTTAACAAGCGGTTAAATAAAGTATTTTAAACAGAGTGGACGCTGGTAGCGATGATGGTTTATTAAAACCTTTTAAATACTTAAAGATTATTAAAAATTTAAATATAAACTTCTTAAATATTTAAAAAAAAAGTATAAACATTTGATCAAGTAAGAATTAAATCAAATATTTAGTAAGTTATTCATTATAAACAGAAATTTTAAATACCTTAGCATTTGCATATCCTAACTTAATAGTAATATTTCTTTCCAACTCATTTTTGAAACGAACAGTCTAAAAGTATATGCATATATAACTTTAAACCTAAAAAAAATCCAATGTAAAAAAACAAACTAAATACTGATCAACTATTATATATTAAAGCAATTCTATTACAAGTCCATTTATTAAAACTTATCAAAATCAACAAAAACATGATTTTTATTAAAACAATGTCTACGCTGGTAAAGAAACTAAACATAGAAGTAGATAAATAAGGAACGTATATAACTTATTTAACTTATATATTTTTTTAAAAACATAAATCATACAGAATTTTTAATTTAAATTTATAAACTATATGTTAAAAGTTTTATATTTGTGTCCTTTTCGAAATGACAGGTTCAATTTTTCTTATACCATTCAAGAAATCATTGAATCTAAAGATCATATGACATCATCACTTGGACTTTGCCTTTTATTAATTGTAAACAGACTTTTTTCGATTGTGTTTGGTTTTATGCTTTGATTTTTTGAATAGGAACATATTTTTTTTTATATTAAATTTTAAGATTTAATTTAAAAGAAACCAGCAAATTTACAAATATATTTTTCCCTCTTGAAGTATATTTGAATTTACTTGAAACTTACCTTGAATATTATTCAAGGTATAATTTTAAAAAAAACTATTAATTGGACCAGAAAAATAGCTTTAAAAATTTAATGACAACTACTTTTCCGTTAACTATTTGATGTTCAATTATTTTTTTTAAAGTCATAATAAATTTTTAACATGATTTAGATTTTTTTTTTATAAGTTACTAAAATTATTTTAATTAAAAATTTTAATTAGTATTTTTAATTAGTAGAAAAATTTTAATTAGTAGTAACTATAAAATATTTTAATGAAATTTTAACTTATATAAATAAAGTATTGAAAAAACATTTGCTAAAAATATAATCTTTTTTGTACTAAAAAGTACAAAAAAAACTTTTTATTCTCTATATATTATTGCTGAACTTAATAGTTTTAGTAGTACTAGTAGTGTTCCTTCGAGTATCTTTGACACGAAACACTTGGCAGCAATTGCAAACGAGATAATGGTGAGAAAGAGTCGCAGCAGTTAGTTTTATAAGAAAACGTGAACATGTATGCAAATACTTCAAATTATGTAATGTTAAAACATACTAAAACATATTTCAAGTTTTACAGTTTAAGTTTCGCTTGAAAATTACATTGCATTAACCTCTCCTTAATTTTGATGTATAGCGTTTATTCCCATAGTGTTTTATTTATTATATAGTTTTATAGAGATTATATACAAACATATATAACAATATTATACGCTTTAACAAATAAAAAGATTTTTTTAAATGCAAAAAAATGAGTATATAACAAAGAAATGAGTTTATATATATAATATAAAATCTATAGAACTATAAAGTTGTTTTGTATTGCATTTTAAGGAACAAAGAAAAAAAAAAGAAAAAAAAGCATGCTGATGATTTCAACTTGCCATGCGCCAACCTTTACTTTTTTTTAAAACAGTAAGGGGGTTTAAAAAATATGTTTCAACTTGTCAACGATTTTAAGTGATAATGCATGAAGCATTGTAGATGTGCATGCAGTAAGTTTGCATTTCTAGAAATACTTTTGAATTTTCTATAATCATTATCATAAATAATATAATTGAATATACTTTTATTTATATATTTTTTAGTATATATTTTTTAATTTTTTAATATATTTTTAAAGTTTCTAGAATTTAATTTTTTGATTTTGAAATGAAACATGTTCCGTTTTGTATCTTGGCAGGCTGTTAATTTTATAAAGACTAAAGATGACCTTAATTTAAATGTGACTAAGTTGTTTTTTATTTTTTATTGGTTTTAAATAATTTTAGATATTCAATCATGTTTTATATGAATCTAATTACTTACAGTGTTGTCTGGTGGTATTAGTTAGATTTTATAAAGTTAAATTTACTTATAAAGAATTTTTTAAATTTTTACTTCTTAACAAATTTTAACTTTTTTTTTAGTTTTTAATTCATTATTTTGGACCAAATCAGTGGCGGAACTACTGGACGCAGGACCCTGCATTGCGCGGGGGGGGGGGGGGGGGGGGGGGGGTTGATTACCTGTATTTTTTTTATATATTTATTTTAGCCAATTAAGTTGTAGCAATCTCAGCAACAATAGCTGCTGCACCACCCTTAAATAATCTGTTCATAAAAAAATTATTGTTTTTAATTAAAAGGATCTTATTTTAATAAAAAATAAAACATTTTACTATTTGCTTTCCTTTATTATTATCATTATTATTATTATTATTTGTTTATTTTATATAACTTTATCTTTATTATCTCATGATGGTGGTTTTTTATTTCTTTAGTGCTCTTTTGGTGCTTTACTAACTCTTATAAATTTACTAAGTTTACTGTTAAAATGTGGTTTTAATTAATAAACTTTATTTTTTTAAATTTACTATGTTGATCATTAGTTAATAGTTATATATAGTTGAAAAGAAATTAGTTTGTCGCAATCAAGGTAAGAATAATTTTTTTTTTGGTCAAATTACAAATTTGTTTTTGTTATTTTGTGTAACTGTCTTTGCGATGTCTTTTCTTTCAGACTTTGATTGTTTTTAACAATGCTCTAGAAAAAAACATCAGCAACAGGTAAATTAGTTTGCAGTGTTAATTTTTTTACTTCTTTTAATCATATAATTTTCTTTTCATTTTAGATTACAATGGTTTTTCAGCATATTCCAGAACTAATAAAGAGGGGCCCACATCTCATAATGCACATGATGTGTGAGCTAAAATTTAGGGTGAAAGCTCAACCTCCACCTATTTTTATGTTATGTATGTAATTAAAAATTATATCAGATTTACTTTTACTTAAAAATAGAATACAGATTTACTTTTACTTAAAAATTTAGAAATAAGATGTAAAATTTTAAAAGAAAATTCCTTATATAAAAAAATATATAGAATATACTTTTGTGGAATATATTCTGATAAAGAATAAATATAGTAATTACTATATTATTTCTTTAAAACTATTTATTTATTACTGTTGTAATAAATAAAAACTCTTATCTGTGAAATAATATATCTGTACCAGTAGTATATCTTTTTGTGCTTTAATTATGGTGCACAACTGTGTGCACCATAATTAAAGTTAATCAAAAAATGTAAGATAAATACAAAAGCAAACTTGAGGTATTAAATTTTTTTTTTGCCACAAACTGACATCACTTTGTTAATTTTTTTTTTGGCATAACTTTTAGGCGTTTTATAGTCTATAGCTTTTAATGGTCTAAGATCTTAGTTCTGCCATTTATGTAGCATTACGTACAAACGTCTGTTAGTGTAAACATCTTTAGCATATGTTGAGTTTGGAGGCAGTTTATGGAACAATTGCAGGCCTTGTTACGAGATTTCGCTGCGTGACAGAAAAGCAAAACATGAATAAATGTAACTTTACTCAATAAAGATATTTACATAGTTAAAAGTTTATTTACGTCAGTTGCGTTTTTACTTCATTGTAATTAAATTTAAAATGACATTAAAAACTATTGTTAGTCTTTGAAACGAAATAGTTTTAAATTGAACATTGTTGTCATGAAAAAAAAAAAATTTCAATGTTGATTAAAAAAAAGTCTTCTTGTATTAAAATCTTATACTTATTTAAACTTAATTTTTTTGCTTTTAAACATTCGTTTTATGGTTGTTTTTTTTTAATTTTTTTTAAAAATAATTTAAATTTAACACTTGTTTATGGTTGATTTTCTTAAAGGGATTTAAATGTACTTATAACTAAACGCATAGATTGGGTTTTCCCCTTTAAAAAAAACGTTTGTACTAACTGGTTTTGATAAAATAAATGTTGTAAAGAAACAAAATTTACTGCTTTTTCGGCTTTGTTTTTTTTTATTTCCATTAAACTATTTTATTTTTATGTGCAGTGAAACCTAATATTTTTTTTCTCAATCCAAAAAAAAAATTGTGTTTTCAGTTTTCAGATGTTATAAGCAGAATTTGTTTTTAACAAATATCATTATAATTTTGAAATTTATGTATCTTATATTTATAGCTCAAGTACTAGTTTTGTTTTTAAAATAAAATAAAGATAAGTTAGGCTTTTAAAGAGTTTATTTACTGATCGCGTTATTATTAATAAGTTTGAATTTTGGTTTGTTTTATAAAAAAAACTCTTCGGCAAACGGAAAACCCAATTATAACATTTATAACTCGAGTTTAAAAGAACTTTTTTGTATGACGTCATTTATTAACTTGTAGTTATAAAATGAATAATGCGCTTCTCTAAATAATGAATGAAACTGTAAAATAATGGAAAAATAAAAACTGGAAAATAATGCACTTTTGTTAAGCGCATCTTTCAGACGAGTATTTGGAACTTACCTGAAACTTAACTAAAATTAAAATAAAGTTATATGTAATATGAACATTTTAAAGTAACTTGAATTAAATTTATTAAATCTTTTTTTACTTTGGTAATTTTATCATAAAAAAAACGGAGCATTTTAAAATTAAAAAATTTTAAATTGCTCTGTTTTAAAATTAAATGAAAGAATTTTAATTAAATTTAATAAATTTATTTACTTAAAACTATAATTAATAAAAAAATATTTAAATTTAATAAAATAAATTGAAAATATTTCTTTTTTTAAATTTGATTATTTATAAACTTATGAAATCTAATATTCAAAATTAAATATGATAAAAAGTTTAAACTTAAAACACTTTATTTTCTTTAAGTAATTTTTAAAAACAAAAAAAAAATTATTAAACAAATTGTTTCTTTAACAAAAAATCTATTAGTTTACAATTGCGGTTAAATGCTTTTACTTACGACTTTAATACTTCTGAATGAACGTCACATAAACGATATAATAAGATAATTTAAATATTCTAAAAGATAAAAGTTTTTGCGTAACGCATAACTGCTGAACGCGCAGGCAAATCGCCTTTTCGCAGGCAAAATGCGAGCTGCGTAAAGCTTCTTAACAAGGCCTGCAATTGTGTATAATAAACCTATAAAATAAG